TGTGCCAGTGTAACGGTAAGTGCATCGTCGTGTTGCACGAGGGAGGTGGGCTGGTTGTCGGGCTCTGCAAACCCAAGCCAGTGGCCTTGCGGTAGATGACACAGGGCTGGGCATCGCCGTCCGCCACCACCGAGCAGGCACAGTAGCCCCGCTGGCTGCTCTCACGGATGAGGAGCGGCCCACACACCAGGTTCGTTCCTCATGGTGGGGGAGGCCATCCTCATCCTCCATCAGTGCATACTGGTCTTCAGGCTCATTTTTTTTCCCTCATTTTTTTTTTTTCTGAAACAAGGATTTTATTTTTTTTTTTTATTGATTAAGGGTGTCCTTATCCCCATGTTACTCCCTATCCGCCCCCACTCATGCCCTCACCCCCCTGTTGTCTGTTTCCAATGGTTAGGCCTATATGCTTGCATATAAGTCCTTTGGTTGAACTCTCCCCCTTATCCACACCCTCTCATACCTTCCCACTGAGGTTTGACGGTCTGATCGATGCTTCTCTGTCTCTGGATCTGTTTTTGTTCATCAGTTTATGTTGTTCGTTATAATCCACAAATGAGTGAGATCATGTGATATTTATCTTTCTCTGACTGGCCTATTTCACTTAGCATAATGCTCTCCATTCAGGCTCATTTTTGATTCCCAACCACTGGTGGATTTTCTTCTGCCGGGCGCCTCTCTGGGGGAGCCATTCCAGGTCCCCGTCTCGGATCCTGCGCAGCTGCGTGAGGTCTGGCTTCAGGCTGTTCATGCGCTGATCCATCTCCCGGTTGTCCGAGGCCTGTGTTTGCAGCTCCTGTTCCCGCTTCCTGCGGCTCTCGCGGATCTTGGCGATGCGAGACTTGAGCCTTTCTGACCTCAGCAGGATCCTCTGCATCTCTTTTCATTGCCCTCAGGCCGGAAGCGCTCCAGGTCCTCCTGGCTGCGCTTCTCTGGAGTCCGGAATTAAGGAATGAGGGAGGGCCCTAACCGGTGTGGCTCAGTGGATAGAGCATCGGCCTGCAGACTGAAGGGTCCCAGGTTCGATTCCGGTCAAGGGCATGTACCTTGGTTGCGGGCACATCCCCAGTAGGGGGTGTGCAGGAGGCAGCTGATCGATGTTTCTCTCTCATCGATGTTTCTAGCTCTCTATCCCTATCCCTTCCTCTCTGTAAAAAAATCAATAAAATATATTGAGAAAAAAAAGATCTTGATGGTTTCATTGAAGGCTTCCATTGCGGTGCAGTGTGCTTCATCAGCAGCTCCTGGGGGGTGGGGTGGGGTGGAGGAGGCATCTGTATCCTTGTAGAGCTGGTCATACCCGCGGCTCTTGTCCTCCGCTTCAAAGCAAGGTAACAAATGAATAATTTCCCCCCCAGAAGTCACGTCCAAATACTGTGAGACTGAGGACTGTAGGGCTGACTATGTACATGCACAGTAACAGGCTCACGTGCTGGCCGTAGGCGCCCAGGCGTCCTCCACAATCCCACCATCCTCTAGGCCAGGGGTCCTCAAACTTTTTAAACAGGGGGCCAGTTCACTGTCCCTCAGACCGTTGGAGGGCCAGACTATAGTTAAAAAAAAACATGGTAAACACAGCAAATACTTAATACTTATGGGCTTCTATACAAACACTTTCCAACCAGGAATGTTTTAATAGACAGTCTCCAAAAACTTGAACTGGAAAACCTAAAAGTAGAGCGCTCAGATTTCAGGCATCAGGTGCTATTAGCAGGGTTTCTATCCCAATTAATCTCTAATTCTGAGCTCTCAACAGTCTGGACAAACTGCCCTTCAGGATCTCCAAAGTTTCTTCTTTGTCACTATCCCATTTTCCTCCGCTTCAAGCCAAGTAACAAATGAAACCTTTCATTCTGATCTTCCTCGCCGCAAGGGAACAGCAAACCTCAATGGAAATAATTTCCCTCCAGAAGTCACGTCCAAATATTGCCAGACTGAGGACTAGAGGGCTGACTATACACATGCGCAATAACAGGCTCACGTTCTAATGGTAGGCGCCCAGGTCCTCCACAATCCCACAGTCCTCTGGTCACACACTTCCGGTTTTTCTAGTTCCTCCTTAAATGGCGTTTCCTTCGGTCACGTCTAGGGGGTGTGCAGGAGGCAGCTGATCGATGTTTCTCTCTCATCGATGTTTCTAGCTCTCTATCCCTATCCCTTCCTCTCTGTAAAAAAATCAATAAAATATATTGAGAAAAAAAAGATCTTGATGGTTTCATTGAAGGCTTCCATTGCGGTGCAGTGTGCTTCATCGGCAGCTCCTGGGGGGTGGGGTGGGGTGGAGGAGGCATCTGTATCCTTGTAGAGCTGGTCGTGCCCGCGGCTCTTGTCCTCCGCTTCAAAGCAAGGTAACGAACGAATAACTCCCCCCAAGAAGTCACGTCCAAATACTGCGAGACTGAGGACTGTAGGGCTGACTATGTACATGCGCAGTAACAGGCTCACGTGCTGGCCATAGGCGCCCAGGCATCCTCCACAATGATCGATGCTTCTCTGTCTCTGGATCTGTTTTTGTTCATCAGTTTATGTTGTTCGTTATAATCCACAAATGAGTGAGATCATGTGATATTTATCTTTCTCTGACTGGCCTATTTCACTTAGCATAATGCTCTCCATTCAGGCTCATTTTTGATTCCCAACCACTGGTGGATTTTCTTCTGCCGGGCGCCTCTCTGGGGGAGCCATTCCAGGTCCCCGTCTCGGATCCTGCGCGGCTGCGTGAGGTCTGGCTTCAGGCTGTTCATGCGCTGATTCATCTCCCGGTTGTCTGAGGCCTGTGTCCGCAGCTCCTGTTCCCGCTTCCTGTGGCTCTCAGGGCTCTCGGCGATGCGAGACTTGAGCCATCCTGAGCTCAGCAGGATCCTCTGCATCTCTTTTCATTGCCCTCAGGCCGGAAGTGCTCCAGGTCCTCCTGGCTGCGCTTCTCTGGAGTCCGGCCCTGCTCTTCCAAGATCTTGAGGGTTTTGCCCTGGCCGGTTTGGCTCAGTGGATAGAGCGCCGGCCTGAGGACTGAAGGGTCCCAGGTTCGATTCCGGTCAAGGGCATGTACCTTGGTTGCGGGCACATCCCCAGTAGGGAGCGTGCAGGAGGCAGCTGATCAGTGTTTCTCTCTCATCGATGTTTCTAGCTCTCTATCCCTCTCCCTTCCTCTCTGTAAAAAATCAATAAAATATATATTTTTAAAAAAAGATCTTGATGGTTTCATTGAAGGCTTCCATTGCGGTGCAGTGTGCTTCATCGGCAGCTCCTGGGGGGTGGGGTGGGGTGGAGGAGGCATCTGTATCCTTGTAGAGCTGGTCGTGCCCGCGGCTCTTGTCCTCCGCTTCAAAGCAAGGTAACGAACGAATAACTCCCCCCAAGAAGTCACGTCCAAATACTGCGAGACTGAGGACTGTAGGGCTGACTATGTACATGCGCAGTAACAGGCTCACGTGCTGGCCATAGGCGCCCAGGCATCCTCCACAATCCCACCATCCTCTAGGCCAGTGGTTCTCAACCTTCCTAATGCCGAGACCCTTTAATACGGTTCCTCGTGTTGTGGTGACCCCCAATGTCATTGTTACAAATTGAACATAATTAAAACGTAGTGATTAATCACAAAAACAATATGTAATTATATATGTGTTTTCCGATGGTCTTAGGCGACCCCTGTGAAAGGGTCGTTCGACCCCCAAAGGGGTCACGACCCACAGGTTGGCGACCCACAGGTTGAGAACCGCTGCTCTAAA